ATTTGTAAACTTTATTAATTATTAATTTAACGACTTATTTAATTTAAAGGTTTAAATACGATGGATGACTCTTTTTTTGCATCTTTACATTCAAAATCTGCTACAACGAGAGGTACAAATGGACAAATATCTTTACCACACAATGCAAGTTTAACAGGCACCAATTCCACGTATGTATTTACTTCAAATTTGTATTATTATTTAATTAAATTAACTTACATACTAATGAATTATTCGGACATAGTGAAAAAATTCAAGAATTGAAACACAAATCAAATAATTCACCTGAAATTGAAGAATCGAAGCAACAATTAAGTAATTCACCTAAAAAATCAGTGAATCAAGATGTTAATTCGCTCACTATTGAAGAATCAGGACACCAGTCAGACAATTTGTTCGAATTTGAAGTGTCAGAACACCAAGCAAATGATTTGCTTGAAATAGATGAATTGAAACATCAAGCAGATAATTCGCTCGAAATTAAAAAATTAGAGCACCAAGATGATAATTCACAAAAAATTGCAGAATCAGAACATCAAGCAAATAATTCATTTATTAATTTCTTGTAAGAAATTAAGGATGATTATGAGAAACAGAACCCTCAATTATATACAGCATTGAATAAATTTGCTGAACGATATAAAGCAGCAAAATCACTATCAATTTTGCGGTTAACCACCTTTTTATATGACCTCAATCGTAATTTGGACCTGTTGATATATGTTAAAAGTAGTAAAAGGATCTCTGTCCAAGTTGAATCTATAAAGCGAAGGAAATCAGAAGGCACAAGTATCAAACAAAGATATTCAAAAGTTAATGATGAAAATGATCCACATAATATTCCTAGGCGCAAAGTAAGGAAAACTGATAAAAAGGAACATAAATTAAGCAAAAATGTTTCAAATAACATATTAAACTAATATGTAGAATTTAGATTTTATATAATTTAGTTAAATAAATCTTATAAATGCTGAATCAAATATATTAATATTTCAAGTTACCTTCATATTTTTATGTAAATCAAGTCAAGCATCAGCAGTTCATTTTGCATTTATTTAATTAAAAAAAAATGCTTTATATTTCGATAATTGTTTGTATAAATGCACCTCGATATACACAAAGCTCTGGGCTGAAGGTTTTGTTTTATTATGTCTATATTTCGTTATATCAGGATTCCTCAATATAACGAATTTATGTATAATTTTATAAAACATTCAGTTTGCAAATTATATCCCTCGATATAACGAATTTATATATATAATTTTATAAAACATCAGTTTATATAATGTGCCCGATATAAGAATTTAATTGAATGTTATACAAAAGTTTCATTATACTTCAAATATTTCGCTTTATGTTATATCAAGGTGATTTATAAATTTATAAATTGTTTCGTAATTCGATATATTAAATTCGTATTTTAATATAAAAATTCTTGTTGAAAAAAATCTTTGCCATAATAATACTTTCAGTTTATCGAGGTTATATTGCATATACAATTAAAGTATTTCAC